AAATCCCTGCTTGCCCAGTGGGTTGGGAGGAGCATATTGGAAACATGAAAACATTTCTCCTTCCCAAGGGCAATTACACCACTTGTCTGTAACAAGTACTTCGGAGAATTGCCCTCCTAAGATCCTAGGAGTCCCTGAAGTTCTTTGGTTTTAACTCTTCCAACAGCAATCCCAGCCTCCTCTTGCCACCTTCTGGCCTCATGCCCACAGCTCTGCTCTCCTGCTTCCATGGATCAAGGCTTCTGAGAGTTCCCTGGATTCCTTGTCAGACTTCCAGGTGAAAAGGACAGCTGGTTTCCACAGGTAGCAGTGAACCCAGGTGGAAGGCTGGGTGCCTATCTGCCTATGAGGACCTGGATCCTGGCAGTCTGTCTTCTGTGGAATCAAGGGAAATTCTGTCCCCCTTTCCCTTCTGGGCTGATGAAATGGAGAGGGACTTGGAGTAGGACAGCAGCCACTTCCTGGGACACTGTAGGAAGGAGACTTGTGGGTGTGGCTGGGGCTCCAAGGATAGAAGACACAGGCACGGAGATGAGGAGCTGGGAAGGAAGTGAAGGAAAGCCTCTGACCAGGGGCTCGAACTTACACCAGGAATGGCAGCTGGTGTTTCCTCCAGGGCTGGGGATGGAGCAAAATCCATTTCCTGACAGAGGAGCAGAGTGTGGCTGGCCCTGAGGACAGAAGGCCATATATATGCCTCAGGATGCTGAGCTGACTCTGGTCACTCTATGGCACGGTCGGGGGCTTTGGGTTCTCTTCCGGGGCATCAGGGCCAGGAGCAAGTGTTCCTGGACAGCCAGCCAATCCGGGCCTTCCAGATGACCCAGGAAAAGGAGCTGTCACCAGGGTGTGCCAAGGCTGAGCCTCCAGGTCTCAAGCTCAGTGATAAGGCCTTGTTGGCAGCTGTGTGAAAAGCATCCAGGAGAAGCCTCAACAGGGTATCTCAGAATGGGGCACCCAATGGGGAAACTGGGGCCCACAGCCTGGCCTTCCCCTGGGCCAGGTCCCAAGGCCAGCTGTGCCTGTGACACCAGATAGGGTTAGTCAGGCTCTGAGCAACAGACTCGTGTAACCAAGCTCATGGACCCCATCATACCAACCCAGATGACACAAGATTTGTGGTTGGGTAGACTTGGATTTGGCATTGGGTATTCAGCAGGCAGATGTCAGGATAGACATTTCTGTGGGGGAAGGGGCAGGTTCTGGCAAACCTTTCATCATATTTTAGGTTCTTTTATCAAACCTAATGCACAGGAGACGTAGAATGTACACCAGACTCCAGGCCTCAGGGGTCCACTAGCTCCACTGACTTTCACCTCCATGGATTGTCCCCTTCCTCACCTGCCATGGAGGGAACAGACCTGGCAGTAGCTACATCCATGGCCTTCTCTCCTTCACTGGAGGAGCTTTATTCTGACAGCATACCACATCTGTTTCTGCTTCTAAAGCTTCTCCACCCAAACACAACAAGTAATGGAGAATGTTTACTGCCAGGCACTGTTTCAGGGGGCATATGCAATTATTCAGTGTCCCATTCTGTGATGGAGATGCTGCCATCGTCCGCGGC